CAAATTTCATTTTCCTATATGTTTTCTTTGGCTTGTTGCAATCTTTTAATGGATATATCTCTTCGCATATTACTTCCATGATATATTACTTCTATGAGTGTGTTATTATTATTATTTTTTTTCATTTTTACATTAAACAATCTTTATATATACCATTATGTTGATTGAATCAGACAAATAATATTAAGTGTTTTAATTAATCCTGTTTAAATATATCTTTATTTTAGAATTTTTTATTGATTGTGTTTTAATTCATTAGAGTATCCAATTATTCTTAATTAAGGTTTGTTTCTACTTAATATAATGATGATTAAATTTTCTTTCCTAATTATTGTTTTATTATCTCTTTCAATCTAATATTTTATTTGCTTTGACATAATATTTTATTTGTTTGACACAGATTTCTGAATATTCTACCAAATTAAGTTTAACTGGTCTCTCTACAAAAAAACAACTACTTTTTAGCTTCGACCATCAGTGAGAAAGAAAAAGCAGCTACAGCATAATTAAGGTATGTATATGTGTACTAATACTTTCTAATTAATATCTTTAGGAAGATCTAAATCAAATTCTATGATATATATTTTTATTGCTTTCTTTCTATCATCTTTGCTATTTTTAATTTCAACACGCGAAACTAATTAAATCAATCCATTAGGATAAAATACTAATTGATAATAGTGTGAGGTATTCAATAGATTAGCCTAATTTGTATTTCAATTCATTTCTTTCTCTTATGTAGAAAAGTTGTTCCATCCAATGGAGTTCTTATCTTTTGCTGGAGGTTTTCTTTTACCTGGTATATTTGACTCGCTACGTGGAAAGTTGAATGAATATATAAGTGATCAGTTGATTGGATATATAAGTGATCAGCTACAAAATTCAGAGGAGGAAGTACGTGCCCAGATGGAAAGCTGGAAGACTCTATTGTCCAAAATCACAGCTATACTTCAACATGCAGAAGATAATCAAGGCGCCAACATGTTTGTGAAGTCATATCTTGATGATCTCAAGGACTTGGCTTATGATATGGAGGACATACTTGAAGAGTTTGTGATTGATGCCAGGAGGTCCGAATTGACTGCAGAACCTGATGCTAGACCCAACAGACGACAAAAATGCCTCTCCAATATCATGAATTTATTTAGATCTAAGGCCAAACCCAATCAAAAGATTGGTTCCATGGTGAATGATCTGAAAGTTAGATTGGAGCGTTTTGAAAAGGAGATGCATACTTTTGGCCTGTTCAATCTGGCTTTGAAACTTGAAGATAAGTCTCACAAAGTAGTTGTAAAAAGACTACCTGAGTCTTCTCTTCTTGAAGATATGGTGTTGGGTCGAGATAGTGATCAACAAGCTATTCTTCAGAGGTTGCTAGAAGATGGAGGCAATCTTGAACAAGACTTCATTATTCCCATTGTTGGAATGGGTGGACTAGGCAAGACAACTCTTGCTCGGCTCATTTACAATGATGAAAAGCTGAAAAGCAGGTTTGACTTGAAGGCATGGGTTTGTGTTTCTGATGAGTTTGATGTTGCTCGAATAACAAGAACCATTTTAGAACAGGTGACTAGGAAAAGGTGTGCTCTTGATGATTTCAGTTCACTTCAAGAGGAATTGAAAGGGGAGTTATCTGGGCGCAAATTTTTTCTTGTATTGGATGATGTTTGGAATAAGGAATATGGCAATTGGGATACATTGAAGAGACCTTTCATGTCAGGAGCTCTTGGAAGTAAAATAATTGTCACAACTCGAAACAAGGATGTTGGGACGATGATGAGAGGAGATGATGGAGTTTACAACTTAGAATTGCTACAAGATGATGCTTGTTTGCCATTATTTACACGACATGCACTGGGGAAAGAGGACTTTGCTGTGCACCCAGACCTACAAGATGTTGGTGAGAAGCTTGTTGAGAGGTGCAAAAGATTGCCATTGGCACTAAAAACACTGGCTGGCGTCTTGCGAGGAAAGTTGTGTCGTGATGAGTGGGAAAATATATTAAATAGTGACATATGGAGTTTATCAGAAGATAGAAGTGGAATTCTTCCTACTTTGAGATTGAGCTACAATGATCTTCCTTGTCACTTGAAGCGATGCTTTGCTTATTGTGCTTTGTTCCCTACAGACCATGAATTTGACAAAAAGGAGTTGGTTCTGTTATGGATGGCTGAGGGCCTGTTACAGCAACAGTCACATGGAAAGAAGCAAATAGATGAGGAGATTGGTCATCAATATTTCCAAGAGTTGTTATCAAGATCACTCTTTCAACAATCAAGTGGAGATGAATCACGGTTTGTGATGCATGACCTCATAAATGATTTAGCTGTAGATGTTGCTAAAGAAATATACTGTAATCTTGAACGTGATGAAAGATTAGAGAAAGCTCGTCATTTGTCATTCACTCAACACAGGTATGAAATCTCAAAAAGATTCATAATCTTGAATAAATTGAAGAATTTGAGAACATTCTTGTCACTAAAAGCACTCAGTTACTGGGATGACTTCTATTTGTCTAACCAAATCTTGCATGATTTCTTGCCAAATTTGAATTGCTTAAGAGTGTTGTCTCTTTGCGGCTATCAAATAAGCAAGCTACCAGATTCTTTTGAAAATTTGAAACATATTCGGTACATCAATTTGTCTAACACACAAATCGAATGTCTTTCTGAATCAGTGGGTTCTCTTTTATTCCTGCAAACACTACTATTATATGGTTGTCATCAACTTACTAAGTTGCCTACCACGATTGGGAATCTAATTGATCTCCATTGTCTTGATATCACTGAAACACATTCTTTAAAAGAGATGCCATCAGGAATAGGCAATCTTAAAAATCTTGTAACACTGTCCAAATTTATGGTGGGGAAAGCTAGTGGAATGATGAGATTATCTGATTTGAAGAATTTGTTGCAACTTCAAGGAAGATTGTCTATTCTAGATCTGCAAAATGTTTCAGATGTTCGAGATGCTGGGGAGGCCAACCTAAACAAGATCCATGGTTTGGAAGAGTTAGTCTTAAAGTGGACTATTCTTGATAACAATCGAGATGAATCAGTCCTCGAAATGCAAGTCCTCAGCTGGTTAAAACCTCATTCAAATTTGAAAAGTCTTCAAATTTCTTGCTATGGTGGCAAGAGTTTTCCAAACTGGGTTTGTGATCCATTATTATTTTTGAATTTATCATCCATGGAGCTCAGCAATTGTAAGAGATGCACTTTGTTACCATCACTTGGCTTACTACATGTTCTCAAAAAATTGATTATTAAAGGCATGGAGGCAATAGAAGCTGTGGGTCTTGAGTTTTATGGGCAACATGACTCTTTTCGATCACTGGAGGAATTGGTTTTTCAAGACCTGTTAAATTGGAAGGAATGGACTTCTCCAATTGGAAGTGAAGGTGAATTCCCTTTTCTTTGTAGGCTTGTGATTGAAAATTGTCCTGAGTTGTTAGGCCAATTACCCAACAACCTTTCTTCACTTAAAGAGTTGGAAGTTAGAGGTTGCAATGCGGTGCTTTTGAAGAGTAGGAGTGATCTCATCTCGCTTGCTAATTTGAAAATTGTGAACATTTCAGAACTGACTTGTTTGCCTGAGAGTTTTACACAGTTCTTGAGAACACTTAAGACTCTGGATATTGAAAATTGCAATGATCTTACTTGTTTGTGGGAGGAAGGGACAAAAGTAGAACAAAGCCTCTTGCCTTTCAATCTTAAACATCTTAGCATTGTGGGCTGTGGAGCTTTGGAGTCATTACCTGATGCAATGATGGTGAGGATGGATGGAAGCGGTAGCAGCAACACTAGTATGTTGCTGTCGAGACTGGAAGAGTTGGAAATTGGGGGTTGTGATTCTCTCAAGTCTTTTCCAGGAGGCAAATTACCCATCACACTCAAATACTTGCGTATAGAAGACTGTAAAGGTCTGGGGTCTCTACCGGATATTGATGGTGACATTAATAATAGCAGTCTACATTTGAAAATAAGGAATGTTCCATGTTTGTATTCTTCACTGCCAGCTTTTGTGAAGGAATTTGCAGTTGGTGATTGCGAGTGGTTGGAATTATTTCCAGAGAGGATGCTACAATATTGTACGGGACTCCAACAGATTAGAATTGAAGATTGTAAAATATTGAAAAGTTTACCCCCCGTTAATTGCGTCAGCAATCTCCTTTCTTTAAATATTTTCGGGTGTGAAGTTTTAGAGTCCTTACCAGACGAGTTGGGGTTATGCACCCCCAATCTTAAGCATCTAGCTGTAATTGGCTGTAAGAATTTCAAATCCCTCCCAAATACGATGTACCAGTTGGAATCTCTTCAAGTGCTATGGATGGCATACTGTCCCAGCATCGAGTTCATTCCAGATGGGGGTTTGCCTCCAAACTTAACATGGCTTTCCTTACAAGGATGTAAGAATCTCAGGAGGGTGCCGAATACAATGTACCAGCTCACATCACTTCAGATTCTAGAAATCCCAGGTGGGGCTTTGATGATGGGCCTTCAAAACCTTACGTCTCTTCAAAATTTACAAATTGAGCAGAAATTCCCTCTGGATATTGTTCTGCCTTCTTCTTTAACCTCTCTTTTGATCTGGGATGAAGAAAATCTGAAATCCATACCTGAGGGGCTCTTCCAAAACCTAAGCTCGCTTGAAGAGTTATTCATATTTAACTGCCCGAAGCTACGATCTTTGCCAAAGGAAGCCTTCCTTCCCTCGCTTGGAAAACCATGCATCATCGGGTGTCCGCATCTAAAACGACAACGCTTTGAGGCGAAAGGAGACTACTGGACTCTCACCCGTGGCATCCCCAATGTTGAAATAAATAAGGTAATAAGACCTTGGTGTGAACTGAAAATGGCATCACCATTTTATGCTTTTCATATGAGAATTTAGAAAAATCTTTAATACTCAGTATATATAGATAACACTTTTCTTTGACTTGTGCTGCCTTTTCTTATATATATGCGTTGCAAATCCATTTTACGTAGGTTGACCACAAGAGCTATCCAGCTTGTCGCAACCAATTGTTGAGGTAAATAAAGCCAAGCCACTCCTCAATGTCACTAGTACTTCTTTCATTTCTTGGATTCATTAGTTATATATTATTATTTACTATTTATTATCCACCTTAAATTTATTTTTCTCTGAAAACATGCATGCATTCACTTGCCTTAACAATGGCTTACGCTTTCAGATTAGCTAAAGGGGATGAGTGATTGGCCTTGGCGTCATGGGAATTCACCACCACCAAGGAGCTTGCTGCTTGCAAAATGATGTTCTTAGGCAAGCCAACCAATTTTCAATTTTAAATACAAGTACTGCTGGAGCTCAAGTTTTCCATTTCGAAGAATAGGGAAGACTTTTGAAATAAGGAGTTGCTGATGTTCAAATGAGATATTTCTGTAAACTGGAACTGGAATGCGGATGAACTCTACTGAATTAAGCAAGCTTGTAATCTGATTAAATAAAGCTGTAGTTTTACAAGTTTTTTATTTGGGAAAAGCAGAACTTACCCTGTAAGTATCCAAACTACCTCTTTAAAATTTTATTGTGATGCCTATTGGGTTTGCTATTGTTATTATTTAGGAAAAGGAATCAAAATTGATATATCAGGCTATCTCTATACTTCATTTTACTTGAGCAAAGTTATACGTTTTGATGATATACTAGTCTATTCCTCTGCTACCTATGATGTTAGCTGCCTTAGAATTAAATGATCATTTCTCGTTGCTTCCTTCTCCTGATTAATACATATTGGTTGCATTGAAGACTGTCTAAATTTCTATAATTTATTCTGCAGTTTTTATTTTCTTTTTTTCCAGATCTTATAGATTTCTATAGCTGTGTGTTTTTATTTTAGTTTGATTTCGTTTCAGTAATTCACTTATCCATCTTTCCTTTTTAAGTTACAATTGATGCTTTTTGTCTTCGTCAAACTCTAAATGAATTATTTCTCAAATTTCAGTCTTTTGCCTTTGATTTTTCTAATTTCCCATCCTTTTTTTCATGTTCCCAGTTGCTTGTGTAAAGGACATAGCAAAATCTTGTTAGGCCTATGTAGGAGCCGTTTGTTTTGTGACTCCCTTTTCCCTTTTATGTTCCAGAAGTTATGAGCATACTCTAAATTGCAGGGGTATTGCTTGTACCCCGTTTAATAATTTCATTTGCTGACGAAAAAAAGGAATGTCATGTGCTTGCTCATTTCGATTCTAATTGATTTTTGTTGTCATGTATTTGTTTTACCACCTATTTTTTAACTTTTTTTTTTCTTATCTTAATTTTGATGCCAATGTATGGAGATCAGGTAGATATCAAGAAGTTAGTTTCCCACACGTTCTCTTATTTGCCTCTATCCCATCTTCTTATTCATCTCACATTTCCCATAATTTTAGTGATTGCTTCCCTACTACTGTGTAACGTTCAACTTAATTCATGTCTTAAATCTTATGGCGTCTGATTAAACCCTTTACCTTTTTCAAGTCAACTACAGGATTAGTTAAAAGGTGATTGATCCAAGATTCCAAGTTCAAGCCTCCCTTTTTAGGCAAGATCTTTCTTCAACAAGTAGGTGCTGGATGCTTTGACATTAATGTTGCTTTTCATGTGGGAGATGATGCGTCCAGTATGATGAGTCAAAAATGGTGATGCAACAATGTGTGCTGTGTTCTCTGTTTATTCATCCTAGGTCACAACCAAGATTGCAGCACAAACACTACTGCTTTACTTAACAATGGGCTGACTTGCTTTAACAACTTGGTGAAAAATGGTGGTGTTTACAAATTTGTCATAGTTGCACGCTCGCAGCTATAATCTTCTACCCTCCAAAGAATGCTGTCTTTGGTAAGGCAAGGTTCACTTTATCATCCCTCAATTGTTCAGAGTGATTCTTTATCATTTCATCAAGATAATGCTAAGCTTTAATTCATTTTGCAGGGCATGGATTTTCTTTGAGTTTTTCTAGTAACTTCTCTTGATCAATTCCCTAAATCAAGGACAATTTGAGGATATAAATAAGGGTGGATGGAGTAAAGCTTTGAGGCAGCATTATGCAGAAATCATTTCCAGGTGCATCGTCACATTTTAATCCTTTAACGTGCACAATTTTTAAAATTTTAAATCAAGTTGTTAGTTATAGGAGAACTTATTATTTGGCTAATTTATGCCATACTCAACCATGTTAACCAACTATTTTAGTTTCTTATTTCTTCAGGATTCTTCTGCTGCACGTACCCATCCATTTGGTGTTGAGAAAACTCTTCACAAATGCATACACGAATTGCATGGAGCTTGGACTTTGAATGTATCAAGTCAGTGGAGCTTTAAATAATGTCCAATGGTTGGTTTTGATCAACATTGTAAAAGACAGTAAAGGGACAATGAGAGTGAGTTGCAACAGTAGCAGGAAGGTTAGTGGAGGAGTAATGGTTCTGCTAGATGATCAACAGTGATTTGGTCACAATTCCTTTTGATACACGTTTAGCACACTTAATGAGATTCCCAATTTGATTGGAGATTTTAACTTCCAGCTTTATTTTGGTGATGGTTATGACATTTGTTATCCAACTATTTATTCTTGATGATTAATTGTTGTGTACAACTTCTAGTGTTTCCTAGAGTAGATGAAACTTTGTGATAATCCTATTTTTATAGCAGTTGTTTTTTACTGGACTAGGTCTTATGATTTTTTTCCCCTTAAAGAATTTTCACATTAAGAAATCTAGTGGCCTAATTTTGTTGATGTAATAAGTTTTGTTCTTGTTAGTTGCTCGATTTATTTTTGAGTTTGATTATTTTCCATTTAATCGCACATAGAAAGAATACTAGTTGAATGTGGTTTGATGAGCCCTTTTGAAACAATGTGTTATATACGCAGATTTGATTTTGACCCATTAATCCCAAAAAGTTAGAAAAGCTCACTTTTATCCTTGTTATCGTTATTCAAATTGAAGTTATTAGTTGTACCGGATGGATTTTTTTTTGAACAGTAAAAAGTAATATTTATTAAAAACAGAGTACAAGAGGTATCCAAACCCATAAATATCTTAACTTAAAAAGCATAAAATTACAAGAGCAGCCCTTACTGATATATTATTAGCTGTACTGGATGGACTTTTTGGTTGGTGGTAAAATATGATTGGACTTGCGTAAACAAACAATCCAGACAAAGCTTTAGGATTTGATCTATATACATATTTCTAAACTCAACTGAGTAAAACAAATTGTTATTGTTCTTAAAAAAAAAGAGATGTAAATGATTATTACTTAAAGTTACGAAGGGATGATCTCTGATATCTTGTGGCTATGTATAGTTTTATATACAAAAGGTAAAATATTAGCATCACTAGTACATTTACTTTAATTGAATACTGAAGAATACTCTGGAGCTGGAAAGCTCAGGGATAGTATATTAGTATTTGATATCAGTCTAGAACAGCCAGGCTGAATGATCTTTCATTTTTGATCCTTGTGGCTACATCTGTTGTACATGCATCAAGGTGAACCCATGTGAACCATTGCCCTCCTGAAATCCACAATCAATCATCTAAGCAAATCATTTCGAAATATTGGTTTACACATTATAATGTTCTAGTTTTCTTACCTTAGCACTGATCTTTCCAGTGGTTGCACAACAGCACCGCACATTACCTACAAAAGTCAGCACAAGAATGTCGGTACAAAAGCTAACTCTTAGTAACAGCCCTAAGTATGAGCTACCTTGTAATCAGTCTCTGGTGTATAATTATATTACAAGCGACAGCTAATATCTGAATTTGAAAATGTTTTTTCTTTCTAAAGGAAAATTTGTAAAATGAAGCATTTAGATGACAAGTTAACCCTTGGGACTGTAGTCTTGGGATTCTAGAAATGCTATGACATCCAAGTCTTTGATAAGGTTTAAAAAAATCCTTTGTTCTAAAGCAACATTTATCAGATTAAGAACCACCCATGGATTGCTCTCGATAGAAATACACTATAAAAAGGAAATCAAGGGCTCAAAGGCAATTATGTTCACATGCAAATTCCTATTACTGGTCTTCCAAGTTGGAGAGACATTTACTACCATATGCACAATGAGATGAATGCAAGAAAGGTAAACGATTTAGCACAGATATGACATCTAGTTTAAATTGAATTGAAAAGACGCAGATATTGGGCAGATATAGAAGAACATATAAAGAAATCTCACCACACTGCTCCCACTTATCGAAATTCACCAGCCATGTGTTTGAACCAATCTGTGTAGATAACACACGATGCACCCAAACCCGAAACTTTTTTCCCTGCTTGTCTCCAAACCACCCTTTCAATTCATGTATGCGTTCATGTAGAGTTTTCTCAACACCAGATGGATGGACAATTACAGCAGATGGATCCTGAATAAAGAGGAATTAAAATTGGTGGTTCTTTATAAACATTGATCATAAAGCATTCCAACAAGAAACGAAAAGTGGAAAAAGCATTTCTTAATAGATTCATTAGATTAAAAAAAACCCAATAAAAGTTGATGCAAAATGTCAATAGGTTCCAATCAAAGTAGCTCTAAAATGTAACTTAGTCTTAGTACTGGTTCTAGGTACAGCTACATAAAGTACATTTTGGTCAAGCATTTAAGCTAAAAGTTTTCTTCAGTTTATTATTTTAGGGTAAATTTGCTTTCTTAATTTCCACAATAAAATCTATATTCTATCCATACCTATACTCAAGTTAATCCATCAGCCAACACTCCAAACTACCAGGGACTTTTTATTTTCACCTGGGCATGATATATAAAGCATGCAGAGTAGGGATAGATTCTCAACATCATGATGATCAACCTGCAGAAAGAGCACCATGTCCAATTAAAGTAACTAATAGCAATACGAGAATGATATCACTCCGAAGTGAAGCAAGAATTTATGAAGCCTACCATTAATTTTACGAACAAGATCAGAAACTATCATAAGATGTGCAGAAGCACTGAGCCGATCCATGACCACTCCACTGCAGCCTTATCTCTACAACCAAATTAATAACTACCACAATTAGACGCTTCTATGTGAATTTAAGTTATGAATTCTACAAAATGGGACTTGTTTGAAATCACAACACAAAGAAGTAAAACTGCATGGAACTATAGAAATCGAAAGCATTCACAAGATTCTATATATTCTTATAGTTAAAATTTAAGGTGTGAATTCTACAAAATGCCAAAAATCTTAGAAACGAGTTTCAAAACTAAACATGAACAGGCAGAAGAATCGAATCATCAGATCGAAAACAAAAACACAATACAAGATTCAGAAAACAAGAAAGTCGATTCAAAGCTTCAGAAAATCACCTGCGATTGGATTGATGTAAGTATTACAGTTCAGGGATTCCAGTGATACAGCAGGAACAACTTCTTCACCTCACTTTCACAATCCTACCCAACATTACAAAGGCAATCAAGGATAAAAGATGATGGGAAAGATCAAAGAGGGTTCAAGTTCTCTGAATTTTGATTGGTTTCTTTTTT